AAAAATTGAATTAAAAAATTACACAAAAAGTGAGGAATTTCAAATAGTTAATTTGATACTAATATCGATATTTTTGTCAAATTTTTATGATATCTTCAAACATACATTTTATTCAAAAATAAAAATATTACTGTTTTCTCAAAATCACATAAAACCACATTATAACATCGACTGAGATAAAGAATAAAATAAAATATTAAAATCATGATATATCTCACTACATTGCGCGAGTACGCTTCTAGTCTCTAATTAAACATTCCTTAAAATTAAAATAAAATTCATTCAACTTTAAATATTCAATAGTTTCTCCCCATTATATTATTAAAAAATTCAATATATTTAATAAAAAATATTGTTTTAAATTTTTAAATATTTAATTTCAAAAATTCTTATTAATAAAGTTAGTAAAAAATGTTTTTTCTCTCCTAAACAATCATCTCTTCAGTTTTATTTAAATCTGAAAACAATTAATTAATACGATAAATACAACAAATAAATTTACACACCTTCTTCACATTTGAATTTAAGATTTAGGGTTTTTTTCTACTTTTACTGTAATCAACGGTGTTTTTGAAAATTTGTTATAACAAAAAAGTAGCCCGAAATTTTAAATTTTTTGTTTTCTTTGTTTTGAGGAATCTGTTAAGAATATTCTCACGTTTGCTGTATTCTCGAGTTTTTTCTTATTTTCATTTCCTTTTCTTTGTTTTCTTTTTCATTTGTTTTCTTTTCTATCCCTCTAATACTCGAGAAAATGGCAAATACTTGACTCAACTTACGAATTCAAAATCAACCTAAATATAAGAGCATAAATTACACAGGAAAAAATTTTCAAATAATTTCTTCTATTTTAAATGATTAAACTAATTTTTTAAATAAAAAATTATTAAACTTTTTTCTACATTCTTTTAACCCAAAAAAAGTTACATGTAACTTATTAGAAATATTTTTAAGTATAAAAAAACGAAATCAGCTTGACCGTTCCCCAGACCCTTTGCACACGACGATATCGCACAAAGTTTGATGGTCGAAGCCATATCGGTCCTTGTTTTGCACCCATAAACTCACCATAGTTCCATTTCCAACTAGTGGGACGATGATTTATACGCTCGATAGACATTATTCATTTTAATAGCAACATTTTGACGATCAATTTCTCATTTACCGAACTTTGTTTCACGTACGTAATATATCAACACGTAGCTTTTATATACGACTACATAAACCCATAACACCTTCCAGACTGTCATTACGTAAACTATGGACGGGGAAGCGACCATGATGATACCAATCTTTTGTAATTGAAATCACGAGGACAAAATTGTACAATCAAAACGACTTAGGCGTCAAGGGGTTGCTACGATGAAATCTGCGGAACATTTTTGGGTGTATTCGTGATTTGTTCTAAGGATTCAACAACCTCGGTCATCGCGGGTCTATGCTTGGGATCGTTATTGAGACACTTTAACGCGAGTTCAGCCACGGCTTGTGCACCTTTCTTTGAATATCGACCACCTAACCGTGTATCCATAATTCTAAAAACCCCTCTTTTGTCGATTAGAAACGGTTTCACCCATTCCACCAATGTCTCTTCGACTCCACCGGCTCTCTCATCGGCAATTGCTCGTCTTCCCGACAACAATTCCAATAAAACCACTCCGAAACTGTACACATCGTTCTTTCTAGTCAAGTGCCCTGCATCCAACATGTGGTTCAATAAGTCAAGGTCAAATTAACAATTTTTTCATCATCGAATTCAGTATATATCTTTAATTAAAGCAGTAATTTTGCTAATCAGATCAAAATCCAAAGCAAAATACACGATTTAACATTAACATTTGTTAAATATTTAACAAACTGATATCGAACTTGAAGTTCAAATTCAACCAATTTGACCTAAAAAGTCAAACTACCTTTTTACCTGTGGCTACATATTCTGGAGCTGCATAACCACTGGTTCCCACAACTCTGGTAGAAACATGTGTGTTATCTCCAACAGGACCATTTCTTGCCAACCCGAAATCCGAAAGCCTTGCAGTAAACTCCTATAAATTTCCGACAAAATAAGATCAGCAATCGTGTTCTTAAATTGATCATCATAAGATCTTATATCGACATAGACATACTGAATCAAGCAGGATGTTGGAAGCCTTCAAATCGCGGTAAATAATACTGGGTTCTTTACTATGCAAGAAAGATAATCCATGAGCTACATCAATGGCAATGCTCATCCTTGTGGCCCAAGCCATTGGTTCAACTCCTTCTGCAAGAAAACAGATGATCATGTTCAATGAAAACCAAGAATTAACTAAACCAGGTCGCTCGCTACAACAAAATCGGCTTTATAGAACGACAAATATGTATAAAGGTCATAATTGGCTGCTTTATAGTACTTAAGATTTATAGAAGCTCACTTCTAAAAAGGTGATTCTCCAGACACCCTTTTGGCATGAACTCGTAAACTAGAAGTCGATTGTGAGACTCCTCGCAATACCCAATTAGTCTAACAAGATTTTTGTGACGAAGCTTCCCCAAGTAATCAACTTCAGTCTGCAAATTACAAGAACTAATTATATTAGATCCCAGTTTTGTATATATGTATATATATATATGTCAGTCGTTCTTTAGGATAGCAGGGGGGGGGGGGGGGGGGGTTGGAAGGATGACTTACAAGCCATTCTTTGTGGCCTTGATGGCTTTCGGATTTAAGTACTTTGACTGCAACAACCAGTCCGGTGCCGGGTCTCACCGGAGCAAAGGTGGTCTCATCAATCCAACCTTTGAACACCTGACCGAAACCTCCCTCGCCGAGAAGACTATCTGGCCGGAAATTCTTGGTGGCGGCCTTAAGCTCGTTCAACGTGAAGGCCTTAAGGTTGATTGGAATGGCAAAACTCTCATCTCCTGATGCTTTCGATACTTTCTTGAAAATCGCCATTCCTGATCGATCTTTTGCAGGGTGTGAGTTGTTTCTTCTGTTACGATTACCGACGTCTTCTACAACAACAACAAAATTTCAAGAAAATCAGAAACCCAATGCCTGATCATTCATAAATGAATAAAGCTTTGGTTTGTATGTAATCAAAATGAATAAGAAATCATACCCATGAATTGAGAAGACGAAACATGAGCAACATTGGCAGGTTTTCCAGAACACATACCCATTTGAGAGTTGGGGGTTTTTGCGATAGGAAAAGAAAGAATAACAATTTGGGGTTATAATCGGTGGCGGTTTTAAGGAGTACTTTTTTGAATTTTATGATATGTTTGACCGATAATTTTTAGTCAAACATTATGAATTTTCTTCCAAATTTATTAAAATATTATTATATTTCCTCTCCGAATAATTTTTGGGTGCAATTATTTGCACTTTGCATTTACTAAACTAATTTTGTGCATAGTTTTCATATTTATTATATATTTTCATCATTTATTTGTAGTTTTTATAACAGAATTAAAAATGTAACGTACAAACTCTGTGTCTTTTGATTGAAGTTTACATATTTGATTCTTCAAAATTATTTAAAAAATGTGCAAGTTTTCGTGTTCTTTTGATGTCATATTTTCTTATATTAAGTACGTCACGGAAAACCATGTAATACTAATTTATAGAAAATATGGTTATTTAGTTATTATCGTTTATTCGTTTTATTTTGAATTTGCTTGAAGATATGTATTTGTCACTGTAATCCACCATTGTCACACCACGGTCGTTATATCCGTCCTTCCGTTCTCATCATCACCACTCATCAATCATTAAAAATATAATAGGTCAAAAAGAGATAACGAGGATGTCTAATTGGTATCATCTACATTAAATTCGATTGAAATTATACCAAAAGTAAAATGAAAGTACCCTTTATTTCTCCGTTATAATTTAAAATATATTAAATATAATTATGAACTTTAAAAGCTTGATGAAAAAATAACCTTCACGTCTAGAATTTTGAATTTCCTGCCAAAACAAATATTTTTCTATGTTTTTGGTATTTTTGTTATTTTAATTCTATTTTGTGTAAATAACACTAATTTAAAAAATCGAATTACCCGTTTTGACATTTTTTTAGCTACTTTCGTAATATTTCCAGAAGTAGAAAAACGACTCAATTACGGTTTTGGTCCTAATAGATTAATGAGGACAACGAACTTGGTCTCTAAAATTCATTTATTGCAAAAAAAATCCTTAAATTTGGATGTTATTTTTATTTTGGTGCTTGATACTAATGACTGTCCATTTCTCAGTTAAATTCACTGGCAAAATGACTATTTTACTCTAGGGATGGCAAAAAAACGAAACTGATGGTGAAAATCGAAGCCGGAATTTTCGGGTCGGGTTCGGGAACATCTTATTGGAGACGGGGTGGGGATCGAGGACATACTCAGGGATTTTATCAGGGACGGGGGCGGGGCAGGAATGGTGATCGCCGGCCCGATATGTGTATATATATATTGATTTTAATTTGTATACATACATTATATATATATATATATATATATCATTAGAAGAAAATACTAATATTAAAATTTAAAAGACTTTTATCTAATTTACCTCAACATCTCAAATAAAGCTCGCAAAAAAATCTAGTTTATTTTGTCTAATAGTGAAACCGTGATGTTAGTTGTTTGATGTTCGAATTTCTGTTTATTTATATAGTAATATAAGACGTTGTTTGTAATTAATTTGATTATATTTCGAGACATTTAACTTTACATTTTTTAAAAATTGTAATTTACTTTTAGTTGTGAAAATTAACGTATTGTAATTTTTTCAAATCGGTTTAGGTTTCGTGTTCGGGCATAACCAATAGTGAATGGGGAACCAACGGGAAGAAAATGGATTTTTACTCTTAACAAAAATATAAACGGTCGTTACAGAAAAAGACCAAATCCGTAATAAATGGAAATGTTAAGAATTCATCCGTAATAAATAAAAGTAGAGGAACCAATTTAGTAATTTCTAACAAACTCTCTAGAAAGAAATTAAAAACTAATTAAGACTAATAATGGAAGAGGTTGGGGTTTTCTTCCAAAAGTTTGTTGCAGTCTTCGGCCGAGTTTCACGGGTGTTTTTAAAACAACATTTCTTCAAACATTAATATTAACAAGGAGGGTATTCATACAATACAGCAAGATACATTTTAATTTTAATATTTTATTTTATTTTTTATCTCAGTCGATGTTATAATATGGTCTTATGTGATTTTGAAAAAACGATGATATTTTTTATTTTGGATAAAATATAATTTTGAATATATCATAAAAAAATTGACAAAAATATATTGATATTAGTATCAAATTAACTATTTAAAATTTCACATATTTTGTGTAATTTTTTAATTCAATTTTTTATTATAATTTAATTTAGAT